TATATATATATGCTTTGAACTATCCAGAAATTGAGGAAATCATGGCATAGCATATTTAGCAGTTTTTCTTGTGTCTCGTAAATTTCACACATCTCTTAAAATCACTCAAGCAGAAAAGCAACAACCTCATTTTTTATCGATTTGTAGGAGTTATTTTGCGACTTACGTCCAACGAATTCATGGCAAATAACTCTTTCTTTATTTCCCATTCTCTCTCTCTCTCTCTCTCTCTCTCTCTCTCACACACACACACACACACACACACACACACACACACACGCATATATACACACGCACGCCTGGTGTCATGCTTAGCGAACTTGTCTTACTAGATCAATTATGACTGAATAGTTTGTTCGATCCTCACTGGGTGCCCCGCATACTTTTGGTATTGTGTCATATCTAAGCTACTCCGAAAAAATCACCAGATCATTTTAACTCAAAACCGAATGATTTGTGGTCATATGATTATATGGAAATTTGTCCCTTCTTTTGGTGTGAAAAACTCACCCCTAAAGTTTGAAAAATATTTTTAATACACCTTGTATATCTAAAAACATAGCTTTACTATGAAAATATAAAATTACGTACAAAATATCGGCAGTTGACAACATAAAAATTACATATAAAATATTTAGATTTTGGAATAACCCATAGAAGTGTTGATATGCCGCTAAACAAAATCAATCAGCCAACCAACGATTTTATCAATAGCGGTCGGTTAATACCAGTTAATACCAGTTTTATTATGAAAACATTGATTTACATTATAAATTCTGACATCGTCGGTCTACAACAATGATGACCACATTAGAAAAGTACACTTACATAAGCACGCACGCACACACACACACACAAACACACACACACACACATACACATAGATAGACAACCAAATACGATACCTATACAGAAAAGCGCTCATACATACAAACATATATACACAAATTAAATGTCCCCTCAGAAACGCTTGTAAACATACACAGACACGTACACTCACACACAGACATACGCACATATATGGACACAAAATCATGACTGGTCACATGGAGAGTAAGAAACACGGAAATGAAGACTCGGTTTTGAAAAGATGCGAGAAGCCACAAAAAATGGTGCACAAGATCCTGAACGAAATTGCAGTCCGGTCATTTCGATCTAATGGCAGTATCTTTTATTATTGTTGTTTTATTATTATTATTATTATTATTATTATTATTATTATTATTATTATATATTTTGTAAGGTTTCAACAAATCTTGCGCCTTTACTCATTTCCTGACGGCCGACATTTGCTTTCGGTTCCTACCTTAACCCGGCCATAACTGCCTCTTGGCGCGATTGCTACATTTTATTTGTCTTCCTTTTCTTCTTCTTCTTCCTTTTCTTCAATTCTTTCATTGATTGTTTTTCCCTCATTTTCTTCTCTACCCCTCACTGTGAAACAAAATTGATATACTTTCTCATTATTTACGACGATTTTCCAGTCAGATTTCCCGAGAAAATCAGCTTTCGATATATTGTCTTTTGTTTTGGACTTGACCAACCGACCTCAGGCACTAATGGAACACATTCAACTAGCTCCAAAACCGAGTCGGGTTACTGGATTATTTTGTTCGAGTTACTTTTTTTTCAACCATATATATATATATATATATATATATATATATATATATATATATATATAAAGTGAACATAAATCGTCAACACTTAGACGATCTGTTTATAGCATATGCAATCGTCAGGCCTGACGATTGCATATAACATGAAACAGACATATGTTCACTTTTATATTTACACACGCTCTATCCCTGATATTGAGCACTTTATCCCATAAATATAGTACACCTTAAAACTATATTTCTTCATATATATATATATATATATATATATTTGTTTTTAAAATTTTTCCTTGAATATATTCTTTTTATCTTTCTCCAGAAATTTTTAGTCTTTCTTTATTTGTTTTAGTTTTTTCTTTCTTTTTGTCTCTGAATCTTTCAAATAAACGTGAAATTCCTTCTCTTTAAGGTTCACCTTACCAATTTGTTCCAACCATTTTATAGTTAATTAATATAAAAAGTACAGTTAGTTTTCCTTCTTTCCATTTTTATTACCTTTTACACTTCTTCTGGTTACCTCTGAAAACTCACATTTGTATATTCATTAAATCTCTCTGCAGTTCTGCAACCATTTCATATTTTTTCTTTCTTCATCGTTTCCCTTCATTGAACACCCAACTCTTTTTATTCCTCACTCCCGATTCCTCCATACAATTATTTAATGTTTGTTTTACGCCTCTTTCTTCATGTTTAACTGCCTTTAAAAATCCCCTCTTTCTACTCCTCACTCTTGTTTCCTCTATCCAATCAGTTCATATATTTTCCTCCTCCTTTCTTCAAACTTAACCTCCGCTTGACAATCTCCTTTTTCTACTCCTCTTTCGCATTTACTCTCTACAATCATGTAATATCTTTCTTTTGCTTCTATTTTCATGTTTGTCTCAGATTAACAATCTCCTCGTTCTGCTCTTCATTCCTGTGTCTTCTCTCATATCCTTTCATATCTTTTCTGCCTTTTTCTTCATGCTTACAACCACTTAACACCCTCCTCTTTCTACTCCTCATTCCTATGTCCTCTCTCTCTTATACTTTCATATCTTTTCTACTTTTTGCTTCATGCTTACACACACTTAAATTCTCCTCTTTCTACTCCTCATTCCTGTGTTCTCTCTCTTATCCTTTCATATCTTTTCTGCCTTTTGCTTCATGCTTACATCCACTTAACACTCTCCTCTTTCTACTCCTCATTCCTGTGTTCTCTCTCTTATCCTTTCATATCTTTTCTACCTTTTGCTTCATGCTTACACACACTTAAACTCTCCTCTTTCTACTCCTCATTCCTGTGTTCTCTCTCTTATCCTTTCATATCTTTTCTGCCTTTTTCTTCATGCTTACAACCACTTAACACTCTCCTCTCTCTACTTCTCATTCCTATGTCCTCTCTCTCTTATCCTTTCATATCTTTTCTACCTTTTGCTTCATGCTTACACACACTTAAACTCTCCTCTTTCTACTCCTCATTCCTGTGTTCTCTCTCTTATCCTTTCATATCTTTTCTGCCTTTTGCTTCATGCTTACAACCACTTAACACTCTCCTCTTTCTACTTCTCATTCCTATATCCTCTCTCTCTTATACTTTCATATCTTTTCTACCTTTTGCTTCATGCTTACACACACTTAAACTCTCCTCTTTTCTACTCCCTCATTCCTGTGTTCTCTCTTATCCTTTCATATCTTTTTCTGCCTTTTTCTTCATGCTTACAACCACTTAACACTCTCCTCTTTCTACTCCTCATTCCTGTGTTCTCTCTCTTATCCTTTCATATCTTTTCTGTCTTTTTCTTCATGCTTACAACCACTTAACACTCTCCTCTCTCTACTTCTCATTCCTATGTCATCTCTCTCTCTTATACTTTCATATCTTTTTCTACCTTTTGCTTCATGCTTACACACACTTAAACTCTCCTCTTTCTACTCCTCATTCCTGTGTTCTCTCTCTTTATCCTTTCATATCTTTTCTGCCTTTTGCTTCATGCTTACACACTTAAACTCTCCTCTTTCTACTCCTCATTCCTGTGTTCTCTCTCTTATCCTTTCATATCTTTTCTGCCTTTTCTTCATGCTTACAACCACTTAACACTCTCCTCTCTACTTCTCATTCCTATGTCCTCTCTCTCTTATACTTTCATATCTTTTCTACCTTTTGCTTCATGCTTACACACACTTAAACTCTCCTCTTTCTACTCCCTCATTCCTGTGTTCTCTCTCTTATCCTTTCATATCTTTTCTGCCTTTTTGCTTCATGCTTACACACACACTTAAACTCTCCTCTTTCTACTCCTCATTCCTGTGTTCTCTCTCTTATCCTTTCATATCTTTTCTGTCTTTTCTTCATGCTTACAACCACTTAACACTCTCTCTCTCTACTTCTCATTCCTATGTCCTCTCTCTCTTTATACTTTCATATCTTTTCTACCTTTTGCTTCATGCTTACACACACTTAAACTCTCCTTTTCTACTCCTCATTCCTGTGTTCTCTCTTATCCTTTCATATCTTTTCTGTCTTTTTCTTCATGCTTAAACCACTTAACACTCTCCTCTCTCTACTTCTCATTCCTATGTCATCTCTCTCTTATACTTTCATATCTTTTCTACCTTTTGCTTCATGCTTACACACACTTAAACTCTCCTCTTTCTACTCCTCATTCCTGTGTTCTCTCTCTTATCCTTTCATATCTTTTCTGCCTTTTGCTTCATGCTTACACACACTTAAACTCTCCTCTTTCTACTCCTCATTCCTGTGTTCTCTCTCTTATCCTTTCATATCTTTTCTGCCTTTTTCTTCATGCTTACAACCACTTAACACTCTCCTCTCTCTACTTCTCATTCCTATGTCCTCTCTCTCTTATACTTTCATATCTTTTTCTACCTTTTGCTTCATGCTTACACACACTAAACTCTCCTCTTTTCTACTCCCTCATTCCTGTGTTCTCTCTCTTATCCTTTCATATCTTTTCTGCCTTTTGCTTCATGCTTACACACACTTAAACTCTCCTCTTTCTACTCCTCATTCCTGTGTTCTCTCTCTTATCCTTTCATATCTTTTCTGTCTTTTTCTTCATGCTTACAACCACTTAACACTCTCCTCTCTCTACTTCTCATTCCTATGTCCTCTCTCTCTTATACTTTCATATCTTTTCTACCTTTTGCTTCATGCTTACACACACTTAAACTCTCCTCTTTCTACTCCTCATTCCTGTGTTCTCTCTCTTATCCTTTCATATCTTTTCTGCCTTTTTCTTCATGCTTACAACCACTTAACACTCTCCTCTTTCTACTCCTCATTCCTGTGTTCTCTCTCTTATCCTTTCATATCTTTTCTGTCTTTTTCTTCATGCTTACAACCACTTAACACTCTCCTCTCTCTACTTCTCATTCCCTATGTCCTCTCTCTCTTATACTTTCATATCTTTTCTACCTTTTTTTGCTTCATGCTTACACACACTTAAACTCCTCTTTCTACTCCTCATTCCTGTGTTCTCTCTCTTATCCTTTCATATCTTTTCTGCCTTTTCTTCATGCTTACAACCACTTAACACTCTCCTCTTTCTACCCCCTCATTCCTGTGTTCTCTCTCTTATCCTTTCATATCTTTTCTGCCTTTTTCTTCATGCTTACAACCACTTAACACTCTCCTCTCTCTACTTCTCATTCCTATCTCCTCTCTCTCTCTTATACTTTCATATCTTTTGTACCTTTTTGCTTCATGCTTACACACACTTAAACTCTCCTCTTTCTACTCCTCATTCCTGTGTTCTCTCTCTTATCCTTTCATATCTTTTCTGCCTTTTTCTTCATGCTTACAACCACTTAACACTCTCCTCTTTCTACTCCTCATTCCTGTGTTCTCTCTCTTATCCTTTCATATCTTTTCTGTCTTTTTCTTCATGCTTACAACCACTTAACACTCTCCTCTCTCTACTTCTCATTCCTATGTCCTCTCTCTCTTATACTTTCATATCTTTTCTACCTTTTGCTTCATGCTTACACACACTTAAACTCTCCTCTTTCTACTTCTCATTCCTGTGTTCTCTCTCTTATCCTTTCATATCTTTTCTGCCTTTTTTCTTCATGCTTACAACCACTTAACACTCTCCTCTTTCTACTCCCTCATTCCTGTGTTCTCTCTCTTATCCTTTCATATCTTTTCTGTCTTTTTCTTCATGCTTACAACCACTTAACACTCTCCTCTCTCTACTTCTCATTCCTATGTCCTCTCTCTCTTATACTTTCATATCTTTTCTACCTTTTGCTTCATGCTTGCACACACTTAAACTCTCCTCTTTCTACTCCTCATTCCTGTGTTCTCTCTCTTATCCTTTTATATCTTTTCTACCTTCTTTTTTCATGTTTACACCCACTTAGCAATCTCCTCTTTCTACTCCTCGTTCACACTTAGTCCCCATAAAAATTTCTTAACATTTTTGCACCTCTTCATACTTACATTCGCTCAAATTTCCCCCCTCTCCCTTCACTCCAATCGTCTTCATTAATCAGATCTGTTCATACTTTTTCTCTTTCTTCCTCATTTTTGACTGTTACGTACTCTCCTCTTTCTGTTCCTCGTTTCTCCTCCTTTCTAGAAATCTCTTACGCTCAATTTCCAGTTTTTCTTTCTTTTTCGAGGCAATAACCACTTTAACTCTCTCATCTGCGTTGATCTCTTCCTCTCTCTTTTCGCTCAGTTTTCTTTTTTTTTTCATTTTTGTATTGCTAATAACTTTGTCCATTTCAAATTGTTTTTATTGTTGTGTTGACGGATTCAACCATTTTCTTTCGATTTTTTGATACGTTTGTGTACGTTTGCTTGGGAGGGTCGTAATTCTGTTAGGAAAGGTGGTATAGGAAAAAAAAAAGTCTGGACGTAGATTAATATTTGGATAATATTCAATGACGGCACTCTCGAGGATTTTCCCTCAGAGTGAATTATTTTATCTTTTTATTAGTATAGCATGTATAAAATTAAAATTGTGGTTGAATTTTTTAAAATCAAAGTTGTGTTGAATTTATTTCTATATATGACCAGTGCATTAGTTGTTTTTTTTTTGTGTGTGTGTGTGTGTGTGTGTGTGTGTGTGTGTGTGTGTGCTCATTGATGCGTTTTTTAATTTCTGCTTGTTTCTCCAATATATATCAAGAAATCAAGGAAAAAATGTTTGAATCCGTCAACACAACAATAAAAGCAATATTTCCACACGTGACAGTACTTGACACATATATGTGTGTGTGTAAATTTCAGTATATCTGTAAAAGGACAAAATAAAAATTAAAAAACTAAAGGAAAATTCATCTTAGCTGACGTGTTTCGTCCTCTGCGGGACTTTATCAAATCAATTGCAAGGATTTTATTTTGTGAAAAGTATTTATATACAAGAGCAAAAAGTTATTGGTTTTTCAAAATTTTGGGTATAAGGGATACGTTATATGTTTTGGATAACATACAGTGGTGTAGCTAGGGGGCGGAGATGGCGGTCCGCCCCGGGTGGCACTTTCGGTCCGCGGTGAGTTTTCAGAAAAGACAAAAACAGTAGCATAATTTCAATAATTTTTGCTAAATGCAGCGATAATGATGAAGATAGGGTTCAAATGAAGCCAATTTGTCATTGATATGCCTGGCTCAAAGCCAGCCAGCCAGCAATAAGAAAAAATTGTCTCCAAAACGCTCTATGAGCTGATGAGGATAAACCCCCACTTACAAGACGTGAGCAAAAAGAAGAGAAATTTTTAAAGGGCTTGATGTGGGGTTGGATTAAGTGAATTTAGAGCATCCACAGTTTTTTTCACACCTATGTGAGAAGTCCAGATTTTGTCGCCTGTTCTTTGATTTTGATGTTTCATGTTTGTGAATTGTTAGTGAAAAAATTAAATAAATAAGTGAACCAATTTTTTTTAATCTTTTAATAGGTCTAGCTTTAATACGGATATAAAATCGTTACTTTTCATAAATTATAAAATAGATAGATAAATAAATTGAAATAATTCCAACGCTTTAAGGATATCACATGCATTCCAATTTTTCCGGAAATATCGAAAGGAAATTTAAAAGAAAATTGAAAATTAATACATATTTTAAGTGCAGAAACTTTATTTAGATTCGGCATTTTTTCAATTTTTTTTTTAATTTACAAGTTTTCACAGTAGTAAAACAATGCAATGTTTTATTTTTTGTTTAGATAGTTGAAGTTTTATTAAGTAAAATAGACTAAGAATTAAAAGTATGATAACATTTATTTCAGTTCTTAAAAGTGAAATTAATTTTATAGGACTTTTAATTCTTAGTCTGCTACTTTTCTAATAATAACTTCAACTATGTAAAACAAAATAATTTAAAAAGACATTGCATTTTTGCATTGTTAAGAAAACGTGGCATTTAATTTATGACTCCTCACTTATTAGAATTGAAATAAATATTAAAAAAACTGATAAATTATGAATTTAAAAAAAGTACTTTTTTTTGTTTTTTTTGTTTTTCTTTTTAAATAAAATATAGGTATATAGACAAAAGCAAGTTACCTTTTTTTTTAATATCGTAAAATGTTTTTAAAGTCTTCCCGATTTAGAAAAAAAGAAATAACACCTTCGTTTTTTGTTTGTTTTGTTTTTTATATATCCCCAGTTTTATTTTTAAAAAAATAAATAAACACAATTGTATTTCATAATTTATTAGTGAGGAGTTATAAATACCTCGTTAATAGAAACACGGAAAAAAAACTGGCATCATACGGGCATTAGATTCTGAGAAATGGATAAAAATATTAAAATTGATGGGTGCACGAATAATTTCGTCGTTGACTATATATATATATATATATATATATATATATATATATATATATATATATATATATATATATATATAAACTTTAAGGGTTTAATGTGTGTGCATTGTAATATTGTATTTGTTCTGGGGAGGGCAGCAAACTTGAGGGCCGCCCTGACGTCAAAGATAATACTACTAGAATTTTTCGAGAAAATAGATTACTCAACTTCAGTAGCTGTTATCACTCTTTTCAGTATTGATGGGAGTTTCCTTCTTAACCTTTTATTTGAAGTAGTGTGCAATATTGCCGACATCTTGATGATGTCATTATTTTCTCTTCGAGTTACATGTGATGTGTGAAGGGACTACAAAGGCAAAGAGGTATCGTAAAAGTCTCAAAGGTTACTTAGTGTAAGAAAAGCAAGAAGTTGTGGAGAGACTTGATCACCCACGTCCTGAAGGGACATTACGCATAAAAGGCAAATGAAAATGAAAAAAAATTGAATTAGGTCGTTTCTATGCACTCGAAAAAGCGTATAGAAATACTAGTTTTTAAAGGGAGGTAATTCTTAATGAAACCTGCCTTAATCCAATTTAATTTTGTTTTACTTTTAATTATTTTGTCGACAGATATGAATTTAGTCAACATATTAATTCGTGATTCTAATAAACAGGATTATATGCATTTCTTAACTGAATCTAAATCTGATCTAAACACACAACAGACATCCCTCGATTAATGCTCATTCAATTAATGAATTTTCGATTAGTGCGCTAAAATTGTTATATACAAAAATGCATTTAGTGCATACATAACACTTGATTAATGCGGTGAAATATTCTTCAGTTTAAACATAGTAATTGAAAATTGATTTTTGTTTTTTATAGTTACCGGTGTACAATTCAGCTGTGCTAATCGAGAGATTCCTGTATATTTGAACAGCAAGAATTCATTTAAAGAAATTGTGCTAAATTCAACAAACAAGTTCGCTTTATTTCATTTTTGTTATTGCAGTTTTCTAATTTGTACATGTAAATAAAATTTGCCGATAAACTGTCTAGAGGTCACGTTTAGCTCATTATCAAAAACTGAATGTTCCCAGAATAATAGACAATATTTTTTGTGGGCTATAATTTTAGAACTCTGGGGTTTTTTTTATCATCTATTTTTTTTCGAATACTATATAATTATTGTTATAACTTTATTAAAATTGAGCTTTATATTTTGGAATTATATAATTTACCTTTATATCCTTAATAAAATGTTCTATGAAGCTTTAAAATAAAAAAGTTATTTCACATTTAGACTTTTTCTTAACATTGTTCTGATCTTAATGCTCGCTACTATATATATATATATATATATATATATATATATATATATATATATATAAATATAAAAAATATAGTTTTCAGGTATGCTATATTTATGGGTAAAAATGCTCAAGATCAGAGCTTGGGTGTATGTAAATATAAAATATGTAACACTAAGCGGCGACATGTATATCTTCCGAGAGTTATTTCCATTTCACTGTTCTATTAAGCAAATAAAATTTTTAACATGAAAAGATATTGAGCAAAAATTGATTTATATAAAATCAGGGGTAATCACTGGATCATATATACACCATTGACCGTCTAAAAATTATAAAGAGAACGGATTAATTAACCGGTTCATTGGTCACTATATATGAATTTAGGTAAAAATGGCAACGGAAAAAATGGCAACGGTAAAAATGGCAACGGTAAAAATGGCAACGGTAAAAATGACAAAAGTGGATAAATAGGTAAAAATGGCAACGGTAAAAATGGCAAAAATGGATAAGAAAAATGGCAAAAGGAACAAAATATAGATGAATATTTCACAATGAGTTTATTAAAATCTTGGATACAATACATAATGGAAAAACATGAGAAGTTTGTCAAATTAAAAAGAATATTCAGCTAAAGCTCCCCCCCTCACATGAGATTTTACTTTTTAGGCGATTACGTCTGAAAACACTGAAAAACTTGGGAAAAAACAATTATAGGTCCACTTGATGAAACCGAAAAAAAAAACAAAAAAAAAAAACAATAAAACATTAATTATTTCAGAGGTTATCAGACAACAACAGGGTCAGACTGGTGACAGTAAAATTTAAAATCTTGTCTGATGCGTTTTCAATCTTTTAATACTCAACTGTGAAGTCTCTGAGAGGCGTCATATAGACATTTAGCAAATAGGTGTGAACAGAAATTCAAAAGGTTTGCTGAGGAATAGGCTAAGTGAACTCTAGAATATTTACTTCGTTTACCATAATTTACCAATAAAATAATTAAATTAGACTCT